GTGATGGGTAAAAAAAAAATCTAAAAATTAAATGGATTCTAGAGCTTGCCTTTATTTATGCTGGGTTTGTTTGTTTGTTTGTTTGAGCTTCCAAGCATATTGCTTTATTAAGCAATGCATACTAATTGCATAACAAATCAGGATCAGGCCTTCTCAGCTTTGGCATTATCTTTGAGTACTGAGGGAGACATCTCCCTGCTCTTATGCATTAGAAATAATTAAATAAGACCAATAAATTAAAAGAAAATAAGTAACAGTATACAAAATTAGGTGATCTGATTTCCAATTAGAGGAAAGAGTAGAGACGTTCCAAGTTGCAAGGGGGAGAATGAAAAAGTGCAGTTCCCTGAAATCAGAAAAAACAGCTGTCCCCCCAATCCTCCAAACACACACGCACACACACAGGTGTCTGTATTCAATCAAAGGAACATGGAAACAGTAAGTTGTTGACCTGTATGGGGCCAGTTTTCAAATAAGACATATAGTTTGCTTGAGATGGAGAATTGTGAGAAAACTCTATGCATCAGTCTTTGGATCAGACCAGGTTTCTGGTCAGCCTAAGATAGGTCCTTAGTTAAGTGTCTCTAAGCAGCAGGTAAAGGTGATCCATATGCTGGATTGTTGCTGTTTAAATGCAGCCCTGGGATTAGGGAAAGGTGTGGATGTATCACTCATCCAAATGATGGAAACAAAGCAAATAGTTCACTATTTGTTTAAAGAAGCAACCCGAGCCTACTTTCTTCCCATGGCCTCAATAATCCAGAACGAGTCAGGTATGCAGCCCAGCCCTGGGGCATGGGGGTGGGGATGGGGGGGAGGTAGGGAGTGGGAGTAGATCTCTCACTGGGGCCTCCTTGGAGAGTGGATGTGGCCGGGGAAGTCACATTGTTTATTCCACTCTGCAAGTTTTTAATGTAGATGAAATCAGGTCTTTTTAGATTGCTAAGAGAAGCCACTAAAATATTTTATGAATGAATCTGTAATAAGGGGATTGTCCAATGAGGGCTCAGGCCTTACAGTCAGCAAACTATGATTGAGGGCCGCATCCTGCTTCCTGTTTTTATAAGCCCAGCAAGCTAAAAATGGTTTTTATGTTTTTAAATTCAGTAATACTTTACTTTAAAATGTACAAACTATTCTATATACTATACAAAGTCAGGCCAGACTTGCCAATCTGTGCCTTAGAGAATCCACAACACAACAGGCCTGGCTTGATTTCAATCCGCACAGAGGATAGGATAGGTGGAGCCTGCTTCCCAGCATGCATAATGGAGGTGCTCCAGCAACCCCCCAGCCCACTTTAGAGCACAGCAGGTATTGTGTTTCCTGTTAGGAAGCCTCTGTGATGACTGAAGTCCTTTTAATTGGCTGCTGAGCTGGGACAGAGTGTGCATATAAAAGGCTCCAGCAGATAATCCTGGGGTCTCTTCTCTGGCAGCTTTGGAGAGGGAAGAACTGTGGTTAGCCTTCGGGCTGGGGGATGGGGCGACTATCTGTCTGCCAAGTCTCCTCACCCAAATCCAGGTGTCCCTGGATACAAGGTGCTTCTGTCCTTGGTGTGTTTTTTCTTGATTTTAGGTAAATGAGTATTATGAGATGGGACCCCCAAGATAACTAGTGAAATTGGAATACTGATCAAGGGGAGTGTCAAGGCAGTTGGTGCGACAGAGACACATCAAAAACCATCCAGGATCTCGCTAACAACTGGAGTCCTGGAACTGGGGTTAGCAGTTCTTGTTTATCCTTCAAATTCAAAGATGTTGGGGTCAAGGAACAGTGTATCTGACTATGGCTGATCAGTCCAGTACCAGCTCTACCACAGGTTAGGCACAAATTGTCCATTTGAACATTTAGGATGGATATGTCTCTAGGTTTGTGCATCTGACATTTCTTTTGTGGTACTGTGATTCTGATTTGCTCTTAGAGCATAGCACCTTTTTTTGATTCGGACATCCCATGCTGGGTGGTCCTTTGTCAGCACCTGCCATGTCTCACAATGGATTCCAAGGTTCCTCAGAAAGACTTTGAGAATGTCCTTGTACAGCTTCTTCTGATCTTTGTGTGACTGCTTGCCTTGTGAGAGTTCTCCATAAAATAGTCTTTTAGGTAAATGAGCATTTGGGATTGGGGCTACATGGCTAGCCCACTGGAGTTGCACTCTCTGCAGTAGAGTTTGAATGCTTAGCAGTTCAGCTTGAGAGAGAGAACCTCAGTGTCCAGTACCTTATCTTACCAGGTAATCTTTATAATCTTCCTAAAATAATTCAAGCAGTTCGGTTTTCTGGCACAGTGCTTAATAGACTGTCCAGGTTTCACAGGCATCTAACAATGAAGTCAGCCCAATGGCTCTGTAGTCCTTCAGTTTGGTAGGCAGCCTAATACCTCTTCTCTTCCATACTTTCTTCTGGAGCCTCCCAAATTCTGAGCTGGCCCTGGCAATGCCTGCTCAACTTCATCATTTGTGTGGACATCTTTAAAGGAAAAGGAAACAGGTTGTCCTGTGACAATCACGAGGGTGGAGGGAGTTTCTCTCTCTCTCTCTCATCTCTCTCTCTCTCTCTCTCTCTCTCTCTCTCTCTCTCTCTCTCTCTCTCTGTCATTGCTGGCGAGATTCTTGCCAGAGTTCTCTTTAATCAGCTGATCCTTCACCTGGAAAATGGTCATTTACTTGAGAGCCCCTGTGGCTTCAGAAAGGGCCAAAGAATGATCAACATGGTGTTTGTTGCCCAACAAAAGAAGAAATGCCAGGAGAAGAACAGAGGTCTCTAAACAATGTTTATTGACCTGACCCAAGGCCTTTGATACTGTCAGTGAGGGCTTGTGGAAGGTCATGGCCAAATTTGGTTGCCCAGAGAAGTTCATACACCAATTTCATTGTGGTTTGCTTGCACAGGTTCTGGACAAAGGACTATGCTCTCATGCTTTCCCAGTCATCAATGGAGTGAATCAGGGTTATGTGCTTGCTCTCAAGTTTTTTAGCATGATCTTATCAGACATTGTTTTCAGCAATGTTATCAGACACTTTCAATGAGGGTGAAAACAGCATCAGCTACTGCACTGACAGTATATTATTTAACTTGAAAAGGCTAAAAGCCAAGATTGAAGTGGAGGAAGAATCAGTGCATGGCTATTTGTTCACAGATGATTGTGCATTCTATGCAGCCTCTTAGGCCAAGATGCAACAGAGTATGGATTGATTCTCTGAGGCTTGTGCTAATTTTGACCTGACAATTAACACCAAGGTGTTAGCAGTAGTCATGTCTGGTGAGAAGAGCATACATTAGCCCTGAGGAGCATGCACTTCTGAACAAGGGAGCAATTGGGCCATTAGATAGCTCCACCACCTCCAGAAGTGAACTTGGTGGAGACTCCATAAAAGGTGAAGACTCACAGAGCCAGGAAATGCATTCCCCGTCCTGAATTATTGGGCAAAGGGGAGGAATATTTTGTAGCTTCAAGTTAGTTTGAATCTACTCTCCCTGGGGTCTGAGTGGATGTGTAGAGGGGAGAATGCACTTCCCAGTTTGGAGGAATATTGCTGTAAAATATCCCTTTGTAAAAGCTAATCAATGATAATTGGTTAATTAACAATGAGGAGATGATAACTCCACTGGTTGGCTGAGAATAGAGAATGGAAGGGGCTGAGGTTTAGGAGTAGTAGTTTTAGGAGCCATAATCCCTCAGGGTACCCCTATAGCCAGAAGGGCTACTGCCCCTCTGAGAACCTTACCCTCAAATGCAAATAGAGGTTGAGAGTTTGAGTTTAGACTATGCTATGCATTAAAGAAAAATCGGTGTATTAAGTGTTTACTATGTGCCAAATATTGTGCCAAGACCTGAGGATACAAATAGAAATTGGAGGCAGTTCTGCTCTCAAGGAACTCACGTTCTAATAAGAGAAAGCATCACATGCAGGAGGGTTCAGCTGTAGGTCAGATGGCTAAACCCTGGAGTCCTTAGAGTATATTGGCGGGTCAAATGGCAATGCCTAGGTGGCCTGGAGGGACACCAGCAGAGCATATGGCAAGACCTGGTGGGCCACCACCTTCCCGGAAGGGTTGTAGTTAAAGACTCCTTGCTTATCCAAGCAGAGTGAATGACCATGTTCACTACCCATGACTGTTGGAAAAGGACAATAAATCCATAAGTTAGAGTGGAGCAAGAGCTCAAGGTTACCACTGAAGGTGTGGGAATAGAGAGTCAAAGTCCAGCTGTGAGGGGACAACCAGCACCTTCCAGAAACTAGGCAGCTGGGGCTGAGGCAATGAAATGTGCTCCTGTTAGATTCTCAGAAAAAGGTACTACTTGAAAAGGAGGTGAATGTCTGATAGCAAGAGATAAATGACACAGTTCCTAGAGAGGACCCGGATAGAGTCTCAGGAAGAGAAAGTTTGGATGAGTGTCACCCTATATAGCTGCAGGGTGTATCCTCCCAAGGATGGAATCACAGATCCATCAAAGTATCTTGAAGTCCATTCAAAAGTAGGCCACATACTGGGCTGAGTTCTGGCTTTGTCTTAGTGACTGGGATGTTAAAGACTAATTGTGTGTAGATGAGCCTAAGACTTTTCTTAGAACCTGTTGGGACCTACTTTCTTCCCTCCTAGGGTTGCCTCCCCGCCCCAATCATAGCCCAACTGCCTGGTTCTGACATTCCCTTCAAACCCAAGGCAAGAGCAATTATTTCCTTCTAAAGATGGAAACTGGAGTTGTGATTTTATTGATATCAGTGTAATCTGATTTTTGAGCGTGTCTAGTTCGCCTAACAGAGAGCCTGCCCTACCACATGGGTAGGACAGCTTCTTTTGCTTGGCTGCCTGCCTCTTTAAAACTGGTGAGATCAGACTGGTTGCTTTGTTGATACCATCCTTTCTAGCTGCTGTACCCATCCATGAACTGAACCAGTGAGAAGGGATGGACTTGCCTTCCCCTGGTTGGCTCTGAGAAACAGGCCTGAAAGGTGTTTGTTTCTGTTCTGTGTTGTTTGTCCTCTGTTTCAGATGTGGAGGTGTTCCCCATGGGACCTGGGAATTTGAGCCATGGTGACCTTGGAGCCAGGATTACAGGTGGGATGGTGTAGTCAGCCAGCCTGGCATGGAAGCCCCTGAGAAGCTGGGATTTCTGGGACTTCAGCCCTGGGACTGTGCTCTATGGGAGTTGAGTTAAGCTATGAACCAAATCCTCTTCCCATCCCCAGAAACTAAGGTGGGGCAGGAGGGAAGGGAGATCATGGCTCCCATATGTATGGGGAATGTGTTCCTATATTTGTAACTATGTTTTGAAGTAAATATTCCTTTTTGTAAAAGCTTCACTGTGTTACATAGGTAACTTCCAAATGAGGCATCTCTACCAACGCAATTCATCACCTTCTCTGCAATTTATGGTCTTAGAAAGTTGATCAGAGCACTGAGAGGTTAAGTAATTGCCCAGGGTCACACAGCAGTTATGTGTCAAAACTGAACAACCTGAACCAGATCTTGTGGGCTCTAACATTGGCTCTCTGTGCCATACTACTTCACCATCCTGGTCCCTGGAGAGAGTGGATTGAAAATCAAAGCGGTTACTAGCAAATATTTCCCCCACAAAGTTTGATTCTGGGTGTGGCATAGTTGATGGACAAGTTGATCCCTGCTGGGTCAAGCAAATTGCTTCTCAGGACAAGCTCCTTACAGGGCTCAGTTGCTATGGCTACTGGCAAACTGCTGAACATCTGGTGGTTCTTGTGATCTTTAAAAGGTCACAAGGTTGTAACCTTGTCCATTCTGTCTCTGGTACTCATTCACCTAAGATCAGGAAAAAATAAGCAAAACAGAGGCAGAAAAACAGCAGCATCATGGGCTCATGGCCACATGGTGACCCAGTAGGGAGTTAAGGGATCCAGGAGCAGGAAGCAGAATGCTGCCCCCCTGACACTGACACTTCTCTCCCCTTACCCAGAGCCTGACGGCAATCCTTGCCTTGATCACCACAAGGAAAAAGAAAGAAATCCTGCCCTTCTGAGACTTTTCTAGATAAAGGTTCTAGCTCAGAAGCTAATCAAAAGACTTTCCATCACAGGGCAGTAAATAAACAGGAAACAATAACAAAATACTCTACAGTAGGCCAGCAAAGGGCCCCTCTATCACCTTTTTCTGGAAGGAGGTTGGCTAGCCCTCCATGTTGGTTGAGACCAAGCAGAATATATGCATATTCTCTAAGGTAGAAGTCCTCATTGTTCAGCCTTCCTGTTTCTAATAAAATTGCAATTGCATTGTAAGAAGGAATTGAGCCCAGAAGTTTGCGAGAGTGGGTTAGTATAAAAGCACTTTGCCCCAAGGAATCAGTCTAAGAAACAGCTTGAGGGGGGCCTTTGGTATACTAATGTAGTCCTAGAAAATAGAGTGTCAAGCAATGACTGAGTGTCCACAGGATGCATGGTATACCAGGAATCAGGATATTCTTTATGGCGTATTGGCACCATAGATTGGACTGCTATACTCTTCCTGCATAGGGAGAGAGCTTCACAGTTTTGGTATTGAAGTATTTCCCCTCTCTCCATCAGTCCCTCTATCTGAGTACATTTTGAGTACAACTGTCTGGAAGGTATAAAGCAAGTTTGAGAACTAACTGAACTTGGGCATTCTTTACAACTGAAAATAATTTAGTATTAATGTGCTCCAGGACATCGTTATGATGGTTTTTAAAATCACAAAGCAATTTATTGTCTAATATCTTCCAAGTCACTATTCTTCTATGAAGTCTTCCCTTGATTACTCAAGTCTTAGCTTCTCTGTGAGTTCTTCCTTGATGACTTAATAGCACTGGCTCTGGAGTCAGAGGAGGTGGATTCAGATTCTGCCTCTGACATTTACTACCTGTGTGACCTTGGGAAAGTCGATTAATCTTCCTGTGCCTCACTTGCTTTATCAAATGAAAGCCTCTTCCCCTGAGGCTTTTTTAAAAAGAATAATATTTTATTTTTTCCTGATTACACATAAAAACAAATTTTAATGTTGTTTTTTTTAATTTTGATTTCCACTATGCCCAAAGGGCTACAAAAATGTGCATACCCTTTGATCCAGCAATAGCACTTCTAGGGCTATATCCCAAAGAGATCATACAAATGGGAAAAGGACCCACAGTACAAAAATATTCATAGCAGCTCTTTTTGTGGTGGCAAAGAATTGGACATTGAGAAGATGCCCATCAATTGGGGAATGGCTGAGCAAGTTGTGGTATATGAATGTAATGGAATACTATCGCGCTATAAGAAATGATGAACAGGATGACTTCAGAAAAACCTGGAAAGACTTATATGGTCTGATGCTGAGTGAAGTGAGCAGAACCAAGAGGACTTTGTACACAATAACAGCCACATTATGCGATGACTAATATTGTTAAACTGAACCTTTCTCCTCATTACAGGGATCTAAGACATCTCCAGAGGCCTCGTGATGGAAAATGCTGTCCACATCCAAAGAAAGAACTATGGAAGTTGAATCGCTATCACTTATTTTTACCTTTTGTTGAGTTTTGTTTCATCTTTCTGATGGTTCCTCCTATTGGTTTTAAGTTTTACTTACAACTTCACTAATGTGAAAACATGTTTAATAGGAATGTAAATGTAAAGCCTATATCAGATTGTGTGCCATCTTGGGGAGGGTGGGAGGAGGAAGGGGGAGAAAAATTTTCAACTCAAAAGAATATGGAAGTGATTGTTGATAAATCAAAATAAATTAATAAAATAATAAAAACAAAAAATAAATTTTAATTTCCAAATTCTCTTCTTCCTTTCTCTCTCCCCTTCCCGAGATGATACCCTGAGGCTTCTGAGGTCCCTTCCAGCTCTAAATATATGATCCTTCTTAAGATCTAAATGTATGATCCTCCTTTTATAAACTCTTCCTCACTTTTAGTCAGTCCCACACAACCTATTGTTTTATTCTATATTGCTTTCATCTCAAATTGTTACATTTAGTAGTATTTTCTGATTGTAGATATGTTTGTCTCTGCTTCTATACAGTGTATATATATATATATATATATATATATATATATATATATATATATATATACAGTTAAGTAGCAAGCTGGTGCAATATATAAGTGTCAAGTGAATGGCTCAGATAATAAATACTCTTCAGTTCAATACAACAAATATTAATTGAGCACCTAGTAGGGCTGTTATTATCTGGGTAAAGTATTGGTGAAGACTTCATGGACTGTGGAAGTGGGGTTTGAGCTCAATCATGGATAGGAATTGGAAGTGAGAATAAGAGAAAAAGAGAAACATTTTATGTTATTGAGAAGAAGAGGAGTGGAGTCAGGAAAATTACTCCAGCAAAGTCTCAGAGTTGAGAAGGAACATAACAAGCTCATGAGGAAGAAAAAAAGGAAACCCGGTGGAGCAAAATCTTTCTTTGATCTGTGGGAGATAAGGCTGTCTGGGAGTTTGGAGGCTAGACCATAGGGGACAGTGAGAAAGACACTTTAATAGCCAAAGGCCCAAATCATTAAGGATAGGGGATAATTTGAAAGAATGATGTCATTATCATCATCATCATCTTCATCATCATTCCCCCCCTACCTCTTGTAGCATTTAATTAGTTTACACACTGAACCAAACAGAGGTTTGTTGTCAGTTGGAATGCCGAGTTCTACTACCCACTGCCAGGCTTCTGGGTCCCAGAGGCATTGTGGACAATAACAATTTGCCTCAGTTTCACAGTGGTTAGTCGCTGGATCTACTATTGATCTGCAGGCAGCTCTAAAACAAAATGCCCTGCTCTGTCACTGTTTCATCATGATGTCAACACTTGAGAAAGAAGAGGGGGATAGAGGGCCCATAGGAGTCCCTTATTTCTTGAGATCTTTCCTTCCTAGTCTGACACAGCCAATCCAATGGAATCCAGCAAGCACTTATTAAATGTCTACTATGTACAAGGCAGCTAGGTAGCTCAGTGGATAGAGCACTGGGTCTGGAGTCAGAAATACCTGAGTTCAAATGTGGCCTCAGACACTTGCTAGCTGTGTGACCCTGGGCAAGTCACTTAACCTCTGTTTACCTTAAGCCGATAAAGGAGAAAATGGCAAACTACTACAGTATCTTTGCCAAGAAAACCCCAAATAAGGTTTCCTCAACAACAACAGTTTCCAAGGTACTGTGCAGAGCCTCGGGGTATACAAAGACCAAATGAAGAATACTCCTGCCTTTTAAGGAAGTACATTCTACTGAAGTAGAATTAATTAATAATAGAACTAATTAACATAATTAGTTAAGTATATACATGATACTTTGAGGGTTTGTGGGCTCTTTGGGGTATCCAAGCCCAGTTTTTTGGTTGTTTCTTTTTTGAAGTGAGTCTCAGTTTAAGCCAGTCAAAATCTGGACAGGCTGGAATTTGAACATCATTCACAAGAAGCAATTTTGTGTGTGTGTGTGTGTGTGTGTGTGTATGTGTGTGTGTGTGTAGACCCAGGTACACACCACAAATCTTAATGTTCTTTACGGTACTACAGTGTACATCTATTCTTTCATCCTTTTTCTTACCTTACCAATTCCTTCAGTTTCCCTTTATTTCCTTCTTCCCTCCTCCTTAGTACCACCATATTTTAAATTACTTCTGACCCTGTCACTACCCCCTTCTGAGGGCTTGATTAACTTAGGCAAACCTTCCACCCCACCCGGATGCTGATTTCAGATGCAGACGAAGAAGAGAGATAACAAACTGTAGGGAGTGAGAATGGACAAGTAGTGATAAACGGGGGCATCTGCAATTTGGTCAGGCCTGGCCTGCAAGATGCCTGGCTTATAATTAGAGGCATCTGAAATGTGGGTTCCCCCACCCTTTCTTTTATTCTCGTCTTTTTTCTTTTTAAAATGTCTGAATTCCGTCTGTAGTCTGGTCTTGTACCATCTCGTTGGCAGCTTCACAATAGTTCCCAACTTAGGGTACTGTCTAGAGAATCCAGCTATGCCTGCCAGAAAAAAAAAATGCATTCCGAACCTGACATCTGGGTCTTGCAGCTGGAGAGAAGGGAGACAAAAAGGAAACAGGGCTGAGTGTCATCAAAGGGAGCTGATGGTGCCAAGTTAGTATGGAAATTATATACAGTGCAGATGTCATTTTCAACATCAGACAAATAATGGGGCTATTTAAGAGACACAAAGATGTGCTTAGAAATTTATCACCGGTGAACATGTAAAGATTTTTGTAGCTTCCAGAGGGTGAGAACAGTGCTTTGCATGCTTATTTTAAAAACAATCACATTCTTTTCTAAAGGTAATTTTGAAAGAGAGGCATCAAAATAGTCACTTTTTTGGCTTTTATGCAAAAAGAAAGAAGTAACTTTCAGGTTTTGGGAACACTTTGTGCATGGATATTCACTTCAAGTTTTTTGTTTTTATTTTGGCCTTCAGTCTTGGTAGTGCTCACAGTTATACACTATGGTAGCTTGGGGGATTTGAAAGAAAAAAAACCATACTCAGTTATTTAAAAGCCATGATCAATCAAAAAGAATTAGTTCATTGTGCTAAGATTGGAGGGAAGTGAAGTCATGGTGAAAAGGAAATTGGAAGTGCTAATTGGCATAAAGGCACCTTGCCCTCTCACTTTTTTTTCTTCTTTTGAGTCAAAGCTGCTTGAGATGACTGGATCCAGTATTCTTTCATCCAGTGATTTTTAAATTTCAGCACTGACATGTTGCAAATTTACTTGGCTATGTTCAGAAAAAAAAGAGAGGAGGAAACAGTGGTATAAGTATAAATTTAGAGTGCCTAGCAGAAAAACAAACACAAACTAAGAGGCCCCTTACCTTTTGTTCTGCAAAATAAACAATCCCTCAGACTAGGCAAGTTTCTTCTGTGAGTCTCCCCACAATAAGGATGCTTGGTAACCATTTACGCTTACTGGGGAAAGAAGGGTGGAGATAAGATTCCTTAAATCTGAAAAGGAAGTGAAAATGAAGACCTGAAGTTGTTATTTTGTTGGAATACTCCTTGTGCTATAAATTTAGGAACTAGTCTTTTTGAAGAAAGGTGCTATTCCCACCAAAAGATGTCCTATGTGTTTTGGTGTCCTCCATAAGGAAATCATAGCTGAGCAGACTAAATGGTTTCTGGGAACGAATAATGGTAAGAATCCTGATACCACTCTCTCCATGGCTATTTTAGATGATTGGCTAGCAAGTCATTCAAGAGCTTGGTCCTCCAATGTCCTCAGAGGAGCATTTTCATTAATAATGAATGAAAACATACTGATAAACAAGGCCAGAGCAAGGTGGGATCGGACTGGGGGAGGGGAGGCTTCACTTTATCATCTAGTGAAAAACTGACTGCATTAGGAAGCAGGAAACCTAGTTCTTAATCACTGATATGCCACACTAGAACTTTTCAGTGTTAGGCAAATGATTTTCCTTCTCTGTGCCTCACTTTCCTCTGTAAAATTGGGATAGCTTTCCTATATATCATCTATCATATATACATTACATATCATATATAATTTGATGTGATATATCACATGTGATATTTTTCATATAGCACATATCTACAATGTGACATAGAATACATATCTATTACATATGATATAATGTTATACATATTACATATCTATATTATGAGATATAATGCATCACACCTATCTATCATGTATCATATATTACATGTATCTATACTATGTATAATGTATGTGATATGTATAATGTCATAGGGTTGTTATGATTATTAAGTAACAAGTACTAGAATTTGTGTTTTGGAAACTTTAAATGCTCTGTGAGTATAAAGTATTATTATTAATAAAAAGAAGAGTAGCTTTGCTACTAGTTTTCCTGATAACTTCCTGGAAGTTATTTTATCATCAAGCAACATTCATTAGATTCTTACAAAATAGAGGTCACTGGGCTAGGTCTAGGGATATAGAGCAGAAGAGGTTCCATCTTCAGGGGAACAGCCTCCAGTTGGACGAGATGGGACATGGACACCGGAGGTATCAGAGAGAAGCGGCGTGACATAATGGAAGGGGCATCGGATTTGGAGTCACAGGGTGCTTTGCCATTTGTTTCCTGTGTGACCTGGAGCAAGTCGCAATCTCTCTGTGCCTCAGCTTCCTCCTCTATAAAGAGAGGGAACTAGGCTGGATGGTCTGTGGTGCCAAGTGCTCTGTGTTTTCAGAGGAGGGAGTGATCATCCTCAGCATGGGCTCTAGGCTGATTTGCACTTTGGGGAGGTTGCTTATATTAGGGCAGGAGGAATCCAATCTCTTTAGCCCAGCATATTACTGCCAGATGAATAGTCCTAAAACTGCTTTCATCATGTTATTCTACTGAGCAAAAACCTACAGTTTCCCTTCTATCTATCATGGGTAAACTTCTCTGCCTGGCTTTCAAGGCCACAAACACTTAGTCTCTCCTACCTAATTGCTAGCAAGATCTAGCATTATATAGCTCTTTAAGGTTTGTGAAGGGCTT